TATAATAATAGTGTGTGTGTGTGTGTGTGTGTGTGTGTGTGTGTGTGTGTGTGTGTGTATATATATACATATAAAATGGAAGGAAAAAAAGTTTGACTTGAAACATGACATCACACAACCACTATATTAGAGTTAAAATCTCCAAAACGATTTTTTTTTGTTTAATTGCCTACACATTAAGTAAACAATTTTAAACTTGGAATTAAACAGAAATATCTAAATAGCTGTAGAACACTGACTTGGAAGCTAGAATTCAAGCCTTGTATTATTCATACCCTGTCTGATGCTTGTTTTGAGAGGCACTCCCAACGTTCTCTGAACTTCAGGTTTTTTTCTGCAGGAGGAGCAGAATCTGGTTCTGAACATAAGGCATCAGATTCACGGTACATCGGAAAATGCTGAAATAATAGCTAGAACTGTTACAACTACTCCAGTGGTGGTCATGAAAACTTCTGAAACATCAAGTTTAAACTTTGAACATATCTATAAGAAGTTTCAATACATAGTATATCGTCAAAAGGTGTATTGGAAATTTTACAAAAAAAAACAAACTGATCCAAGATATTATTTAGAAGATTGCCTCGTAAATCACAAAAGAACTCAGATAAAAATGACTGTCAGTACCATATGGAAATAGTTAAACCCAAACATCTTGACACAAAACTTCACAAAAAACTCTTGCGTAGTTCCTAATTTCTATAGTATATCTATGGAAATCTTGTGCACTTCCTAACTTCTATAGTCTATCTATGGAAATCTTGTGTACTTCCTAGCTTCTATAGTGTATCTATGGAAATATTATGTACTTCCTAACTTCTATAGTCTATCTATGGAAATCTTGTGTACTTCCTAACTTCTATAGTGTATCTATGGAAATCTTGTGTACTTCCTAACTTCTATAGTCTATCTATGGAAATATTGTGTACTTCCTAACTTCTATAGTGTAACTATGGAAATATTATGTACTTCCTAACTTCTATAGTGTATCTATGGAAATATTATGTACTTCCTAACTTCTATAGTCTATCTATGGAAATCTTGTGTACTTAGTTGCCCGACTTTCATTTTCAAGACATTCACCGATATGACATCCAATGAACAGCAAAGTACCAAACAATGATAACTAACTTCAGTTTTTTAAGTGTTTTATAATTACTTCACTTAATGATAATATTAATTAGTTGTATTTTAGTAAAAAAACAAACCTGTAAAAAGACTGGTCTGCTATAAGATGGGAGAGAACCATATCTATGGCATCCAAATTGAGCTTCACCCTACAATAAATAGCATTAGTTATTAAAAACTGAAAAATAAGTTGAAAACAGAAATAACAACAAATTCACAAAAACTGAATAACTTATTAGTTCAGCTATAGAAGCTTAAAAAAAAGCTATACTTAATTAGCTGGAGAAACAAAGCAAGATGCTTGAAACCAGAATAATAATCTAGTCAATAACAGAATTAACAAAAACATCAATTGTACAAATATGGTGTAGCCCTTGGCCTCAAGTAACCAGGTAAACATAAAGCTGTAAATAAAGGGCATGATGCTGGTTTACTCTGGACAACTGTGGTT